GTGGCACATAAGATGACGTAATTCTCAATCAGGTGTTCTTAGACCGCCTCCGTGGTCTAGTGGTAGAGCGTCCGCCCGGAGAGCGGAAGGTCCGCGTCATACCAAAAGACGTTAAAAGATGGTACTTGTTGTTACCCTGTCTGGCGCTCGGCATTAAGGGGCTAAAACAAGGACTGGTCGGCTCGGAGTCAGTATACTGTGTCTGAGTGGGGTATTCATGTTAAACTGCGGCATGGTATCTCAGTGAGCTAGCACTATAAATCGGCATCAGTCCGGACTAGTACAAGAAGCCACACACACACACACACGAACATGCACGTCGCTATATAAGTGCAATAATCTTGGACGCGACGTTAAACCCCGTTTCACCTCACCTCAGGTGTTCTTAACATGTAGTTATGATATACACGCATGAATTGTTAAAACACAAATATACATATGTTGAAAAAACGCTATTGCTATATCGTTTTCTACCTTTGTAAGTTAAAGGATCCGCTAGAATTGCAAAAGGGGAGTCACATACTTTTTATGTTACTCCTCCTGTCAAAAACAAACTTTATCACTTGTTAAGATCACACTTCTTCTCGACTTTAGAATTAGGTGAATATACAAGGCACATGAGATATCACCTGAGTTACATCCGTCTTGATTGCTCACGGCGTGAAGAGACATTTTGCTGGGTGATCATAAATTGAAGTAATTCGTAAATAAAGATTTTGAGCGTTACTGCTGTTATGTTTGCACAAACAGTAGAAGGAACACTTTATTTATGCCCATGTATAGAATGTTAACAATGCCCCTGTTTGGGCATATATCAATATTCATACGCAACCGGAATTGCAATCGGTTTCGGGTTTTGATCTGTTAAACGAACAAAACGGGTTCTTAATTTGTTTTTTTATTTATTGGATTTTGCAGCCAACGTCAATAATATCGAGTAAAACTACCTCTGTTGGCCCAACATGCACGAATTCTTCGAGGCATGCTTCTGGTGAATTGACCAGCATCAGTTTGACTCGTGTTCTACCACTCATCAGTGAGAGCAACACCGAGTTCATTGCGAGTGGTGTCTGGATTTTGACGTTGACGTACTCGTCTGTCATTGACGTCCTAGACGTATTCATTTGGGGAGTTTTAAAGATAAGAACTGAGTGCTGGCCATGCTATACCATGGAGGAATTGGGTCACAATCCTGGCACGATGAGAACGTGCATCATCATCTTGAGGGATGAAACGTTGCCCAACACGTTGTGCAAATGGCACCAGGAGTGGTGCAATGATGTTGTCCCGATAGTATTGACCTGTGACTCTGCCATGGACAATATGGAGTGCAGTTCGGCCAGCCATTTTGATACAACCCATACCATTATGGCCCCACCCCAAAACGATCATGTTGTACGACGTTAACATCCATAACACGCTCATTAGGGCGTTTCTAAACTCGATCCCGTCGGTCATTGAAATCGAAAGTAAACCCTGATTCGTCCGAAAACATGACATGAGCCCAACGTCGATTACCCCAGCGTTGACGTTCCCTACACCACTGACGCCTCTGATTCCAATGACGTGGGATGACGTCGTGCACGCAAATGCCATTTTTTGCAGACGATTTAACGCTGTCTGGGAATGTACTCTTGCACCAGTTGCCTGTTGCACCGGAACTTATCTGTGCGGCATTTTGCAACCGGTTTCTAATTGCCATCACTCGGATTGATCTGCCATAGGCTGGAGTTATTGCCCTTGGGCGTCCAGAGCGGCGTCGACGTGTGGCCACCTGCATGTCGCACGACCAATGTCGCATGATTAATGCTGTGGCGTCCTTAATTATGAGATGCGTTTAATAAAACAGTGTTTGGTTCCAAGAACATAATATGCGTATGCTCACAACCGAGTCTGAGTGACAATGGAAAATCTGGTATACCACCCCATGCACGTGCTTCATGGCTGTAGCAATGCTGCGTTTGGGAGCATAATTTCTTCTTGCCATATAAATCATTTACTTCCATTGCCAGACATTAGTGTATTTTCCGTAGTTTCACATAAAAACAAAAAATCCCCTACTTTTTGTTTTGTTTTGCATGGTATATATATGAAGATTTTTTGTTTGCGTTGTAAAGAAATGCAAATGAATTCGTAATAACATGTATTAAAATGCCAATTAAGTTTCAGTGATACAATTGATACTCTGCTTTCTTTGAACTGTATGTTTTGTTATAAATTAGAAAGTGAATGTATGCCCCGGCTTCTGCATGCCTCTGTCACCCCGCATAACAGGATTGAGTGAGTATGGTTTTACGCCGCTTTTAGCAATATTCCAGCAATATCACGGCGGGGGACACCAGAAATGGGCTTCACACATTGTACCCATGTCGGGAATCGAACCCGGGTCCTCGGCGTGACGAGCGCATGCTTTAACCACTAGGCTACCCGACCGCCCCCCCCCCCCCCCCCCCCCCCCTGCATAACAGGAACATTATATGGACCATACAGTACAGACTTTGGTCCATAATCTGTCAGCTGATCGTTCATACCTTCAATATCCAAGTACAATATGGAATGGGTTTGCATTCGTGAATAATTCTGCCATCTGTGACAAACTATTCATATTATCAATTGAAATGAAAAACAACAGCTGTGCAAACTTTATTTTACTTCTTCCAGGACAATGCAGTCTAGTTTATTATAGATAGTGCGTCGCTCCACCTGCACCAGGACACGGCCTTCTGTAGGAGTGCTGACGTTTTTCCATATAGACTAGCAAAATAATTAATGAGCCCAAGAACAACGTCATTGTTATTTTTTAAAACAAAACCAACACCTTATACCCTAATGCATCTCACACAGATGTATAAATCAAATTAAATAATATACAGGGCATTCTATACACATAATTTTCACTGAACATGAGACGAATCTGTGAAATGAATTTTTTTTTTTATTACTATTAAAATTGCAATATTAAATGCAATTGATTGAGTGTTTCATCACTTTGGTTGATTCTTTCATCATGTTGATTGATTCTTAAATTATGTGGATGGATTGTTTCAGGATGTTGGTTGATTGTTTTTTCATATTGGTTGGCTGTTTCATCACGTTCATTGATTGTTTCATCATGTTGGTTGACTTTTTCTTCTCAGAGATCACTTTGGTTGACCGTTTCATCATGTTAGTTGATTCATTCATTATGTGGATTGATTGTTTCTGTATGTGAATTGATTGTGTCATCACAGTGGCGGATTGTTTCATTGTAATGATTGACTGTCTCATCATGTTGATGGATTGTTTCACCACAGTGATTGATTTGTCGTTGGTTCACTGTTTAATTACAATGATTGATTGTTTCATTGTACTGATTGACTGTCTCATCATGTTGACGGATTGTTTCACCACGGTGATTGATTTGTCGTTGGTTCGCTGTTTCTTTACAATGATTGATTGTTTAATTGTTCTGATTGACTGTCTCATCATGTTGACGGATTGTTTCACCACGTTGGTTCACTGTTTCATCACAGTGATTGATTGTTTCATTGCATTGATTGATCGTCTCATCATGTTGACGGATTGTTTCACCACGGTGATTGATGTGTCGTCGGTTCACTGTTTCTTTACAATGATTGATTGTTTCATTGTACTGATTGACTGTCTCATCATGTTGACGGATTGTTTCACCGCGGCGATTGATGTGTCGTCGGTTCGCTGTTTCTTTACAATGATTGATTGTTTCATTGTACTGATTGAATGCCTCATCATGTTGACGGATTGTTTCACCACGGTGATTGATGTGTCGTCGGTTCACTGTTTCTTTACAATGATTGATTGTTTCATTGTACTGATTGACTGTCTCATCATGTTGACGGATTGTTTCACCGCGGTGATTGATGTGTCGTCGGTTCACTGTTTCTTTACAATGATTGATTGTTTCATTGTACTGATTGACTGTCTCATCATGTTGACGGATTGTTTCACCACGGTGAGTGTGACCTCAACTGTCAGGACACCACGTTCTATTTGGATCATCCGTGTTCCAATACCGCGAGTGCCAATGCTAATTACTTGCCTGTCCTTGACATATAGCGTTAGCGCAGATGGCAAAAAAAACAACAAGTGAACATAAAACAGGTATGGAAAGCTGTTGGGACATTGAGAGTGTTTTCGCATAGTAATTACATCTATCATATATCAGTCATAACATTTATAAATGCTACCCATTAGGGAGCATTCAACATTGTTATTCCGAATATATATTTACGATGGAGAAACATACGAAGGTTCCCGTCACACCAACATACGTTTAAAGGCTGTATATGTTGTAACCCTGTCTGGCGCTCGGCATAAAGGATATAAAACAAGCACTGGTCGGCTCGGAGTCACAATAATATGCTTGAGTTGGGTACAAACAAATAAACACACACGCACGCACGCACGCACGCACGCACGCAGGCGCACACCTATCTAAACTTACTGCGAACGTACAGAAAGAACATGCTAAAGAAAAGATATATATGAGGCTTTCTTCAACTGAAAAGTTTTATCTAAAGCCAATATTACACACTGGTCGGCTCGGCGTCAGTATAATGTTTCCGAGTTGGGTTTTCACGTTGTTCTAAAAAAACAACAAAGCTCCGACAAGTACAAACAAACAAAACAAACAAACAAACAAACAAACAAACGACTATTAGTTGTGCCAGGAACCTACATTTGTGACCGTTGGTTCGACTCCTAAGTATCCTCAAAGTGGTCAACGTCTCAGACCTGAATCACTTCGGGCTTTCCTCCCAAGTTGACACGCCATGCTATAACTGAAACACTGTTCAAAACGGCATTACATCCAGTCACTCACACACTCTAAGTACCTGTACGTTCCCCATTAAATGGAAATACCAATACATAAAGTAAAACTTTTTATTCATTGTAACTAGCCGTAGATTAAGGATTCTCGATAACCTACCAACCAACACCCCCAAAGGTTGGTGGAGAATATGGCCTCACGGGACTACCATAGTTGATAATGAGCGTTCTGGTATATAAAGACACCAGTGCACTAAAACGTTATCAGTTGCATAACCGGCAGACCAACACCACATAGGACGCACAATGCCCAAGAAAGGTAAGTCTGTGATTTAACAGGGTGATACTATCCCTGAAGACTATTAGAAAACTTTATTTCGAACAATTTTTCGTAGTTGTGTATTTGGGGCGGTGACAAGAGCAAAGTCCTATTGTTGCCAATGTGACTCACCCACATTTTGCTCCCTGTTGCCTGATTATAGAGTTTCGGAATTTCAAGTATTTGCGTGTTCTTTTATCTGGAAAGATCAAGAGGATTTTAGTACACTTTACGTATTTTTCTATTTGCATGCAAATGGAGATTTCTAACGGTAAATATATTTAAATATATATTTTAGATACACTGATTTATTTCATTTGTTATCGGATAAATGAACAAGTATACCTATGTATGTAAACATTATCAACTAATATCAACAACGCGTTTCCCATCACCTTATCCGTGCTCACGGGTTTCACAAAAGTGGTAAACGTTGAAGACTTGCATCTCCTTGGGCATTCCTCCTACACCAAGCTGACACGCCGTGATATAACTGGCATAGAGTCCAAAGCGGCGTTTAACCCACTTCACATACTCCCTCACTGCTACGGTGCATGTTCCCATATGCAATGTGAGGTGAAATGGGGTTTAACGTCGCGTCCAAGGTTATTGCACTTATATAGCGACGTGCATGTACGGGTGTGTATTTGTGTGGCTGCTTGTACTAGTCCGGACTGATGCCGATTTATAGCGCTAGCTCACTGAGATACCATGCCGCAGTTTAACATGAATACCCCACTCAGACACAGTATACTGACTCCGAGCCGACCAGTCCTTGTTTTAGCCCCTTAATGCCGAGCGCCAGACAGGGTAACAACAAGTACCATCTTAAAACGTCTTTTAACAGTATAACAGTACAGTACAGTGAAAATTAGCAGTTGGGATTAGCAGCTTGCAATTAATGTCAGCTGAGTGAATCTAGTCACATACATACTATGGCAACCGGGTTCCTACAGACATATGTTGTCAAGGATAGATCACTATGACAATATAATAATTTGTTTTTTAAAGTAGAAGCGTATTATTTCGACTATTTGGACTACACCAGTCAAACCAGATCCTAAAATACAGATGAGTGTATGTCAGTAAGTGTTCAGAATATTCAAATATGAAATCAATCGTTTGCAAAAGTTATGCAAATGTGATGACTTATGGCAGGGATTAGGGTCAGAACGTCCAGGACTCAGATCAGTGTAGTCACAAATACCCGTAAAGAAATACAAGAGGCCGTCTTGACGAAAATATTGAACCAATAAAGCCGTGGTAAGAATTGGTTTTCGTTTACCTATCAATGTATTAAGCCCAAACAGATACATTAAAACGCACTACCAATATATATTACAGGTCTTCTAGAGCGCCTACAGAATGGCGGCAATGTCATCATGGCTGAAGGCTTCGTGTTTGAGTTTGAGAGAAGGGGCTATCTACGCGCAGGCCCGTTTGTTCCAGAGGTGGTTCTGGATTATCCACACCTTGTCAGAAGTCTGAGTGAGGAGTTTGTCCACGCTGGAAGTGAAGTCGTCCTGGCGTTTACTGTGAGTTATGCAACATACGTGTCACTCAAGCGGTTTGACACATACGCCTTTGCTTATGTATATAATAGTTAAGAAACAAAGTTTGATCTACCCCCATGTGTACGGTATTATAGTAATATAGGGCGATATTACCAAGGAAACGTTGTATCACAGGGGAGGTAATTTGAACAGCGTCATGACGTCAGCCCATTGTAACGAAACTCGAAAAGTGTACTTTATCGTAGGATAAAGTACAATCGGAGCCTTTGATCTCTTTGTGAAGCATCTGAGACTTCTTGATTATGTATTGTATGTCATGATAGATAGTATCAAATATAAGAACGGGGCTCAGCCTCTTCACTTCCAGGGTGGGTACGGGTGGCCCAGTCGTCTAAGGCGCCGCGATTCGCTTAGGCGCCGCGATTCGCTGTGCAGAGTTGCGTCCGTTGGGCACGCCAGAAACCTATGATTGTGGGTTCGAATCCCGGTTCGCTCCGATTATGTTTCTAGGTTTGTCAGCACCATACCCGTTCCCGTGGGTTTCAACGAAATGGTAAACGTCTAAGACCTGCATCACTTCGGGCTTTCCTCCCACATTAAGCTGACACGCCGTGATATAACTGGAATACTGTTAAAAGCGGCGTTAAACCCAACTCGATCACTCACTCACTCTTCACTTCCAGAATAACGGATTCCAGACGAAGGGTTAATTCCCCATACACTTGTCCTGTCTCTGTAGAGCAGCCTCCATTTTAGCCATCCTGTACCCAGTTGTGTGCCTCCCCAGTGTCAGTTCATCATATATCCGAGGGATTCGAGTTGGAAAAGGCCGCTAGCACCCACTGGTCGTAGACGCGACTAAATTGGATTTGGTAGTCCAGCGCTGTGGTTTGGCCGATCTCGTGTCTTCTTCGTACCTTAACTGTTCGCCAAGACTCGATTATTTCAAGGCCGTCGTGTAATAGCTGGATTTCTGACTCGGCTGTTCAACAACAAACATATAATGCCATTAATATTCGATTGATGTCTTTTCATTAGGGTAAAATATATTCCTGTTGACCCCAGTATTATGGCCACCGGGAGAAGCTGAGGCTGATCGGGAAGGAACATCTTCTGGAGACACTCAACAAGGATGCTCTGAAGATTGCGAAGGAAGTGGCTGACGAGTCCGGGACGCTGATGGCGGGGAACATCTGCAACACTACTGTCTACAGGAGCAACAGCCCGGAGCACATAAAACAGGCTGAGGCCATATTCAAGGTACTGAAGTCAAATATAAAAGTGTCCAAACCATTTACATCATAAGAAAACTCTACAGTCCATCCTACTATTGCACCTTTATCATCGGCATGTGTTTATGAATCGCTATCACTTGATGGTACCAGGCAGGTGTTGGCAAAATGGTGAGCGCATCCTTCCCAAACGATGGCACTCATACATACGCAAAGCATCCACTGAACAGAAATAAAAATATCAAAATGGATACAATAGTTCCATATCGACCTCCACTGGCCAATAGAGACTCCTCTGTAAATCTTTGTATCATTGGTCTCAATGTGGCGAGATATTGCCTGTCGGGAGCAACCACGCAAGACAGTTTCGTTAGTTATCTCTTACGAATGGTTTTCGGTTTAATGTCCAAAGACATTTACATCACAAGACATTTCTCACATTTAGACGAGTCTAAATCGATAATGGTTGATTTGATGGAGATTTTAACTTTACAGGAACAAATTGAGTGGGCGGTTGAATACGATGCGGATTTTATTTTGGCTGAGACATTCCCAGAAATTGGTGAGGCTCTCCTTGCCCTTGAAAGTATCAAGAAATATGGAAAAGGTAACACAAATATGTATAAGTACTATATTCTCGATTTGACATCATACAGTATATGTACTCGATTATATTAAGGCCGTTGTGTACTTGTACTTTACTCCTGAAATAACTACGGCTTCGGCCCTGTCCCACGCTGTAGCACATGTAGCTCATGTGTCTCCTTTGGCAAATGACTTTGTTCGAAATTTGCCTCTGAATGAGTACCCGGTAAGATGAGATGGTAATGTGATTGATAAACTTCTAGCGCTTCACAGGCTGCTTCGAATGTATACTCCTCAGGGAGATGAGAATGATATCGAGTGCTCTCTGATCCACTGATCGGGGTAATAATGACAGCCCAAGCAATTACAACATGAATTCTTTAAATTTTGTTTCTGACATACGACATGTATGTTTCTCGTATAAGTGCGAGATTTCCCACAACTGAAAAACTCATACAAATCTTTAGGGTTTAGCCTCTCAATCAACGCTATTATTAACTCTCTACTCCGATACGTGATATGAATGCATACGAAAATGGTGCCATGTATTTAAGTGGTAAAATATGGAAGTCGTAAAAGATAGAAGTCGTATAAGATAGAAGTCGTAAAATATGGAAGTCGTAAAAGATAGAAGTCGTAAAAGATAGAAGACGTAAACGAAAGAAGTCGTAAAAGATAGAAGTCGTAAAAGATAGAAGTCGTAAAAGAAAGAAGTCGTAAAAGATCGAAGTCGTAAAAGATAGAAGACGTAAAAGAAAGAAGTCGTAAAAGATAGAAGTCGTAAAAGATAGAAGTCGTAAAATATAGAAGACGTAAAAGAAAGAAGTCGTAAAAGATAGAAGTCGTAAAAGAGAGAAGTCGTAAAATATGGAAGTCGTAAAAGGTATAAAGGATACCAAGTACAGAGGTTGTCCACACTGTTCCGTCTGCCTTAACGATATACACATGTGTGGCTATATCATTGAATTAGACTTTTCCTTGTTGAATAACAAAATCTTTAGCTGTGACAAGTGAAAACTACCAGGTGTTGGTGATCAACATATACTTCAAACATACATTCCAAGGTTAAGACGTCTGCCTTCAGGTTGTGAACTTATATTTTCAATCTTTGTCGGGGGTACATCAACATCGGTACACGTGAATATGTCAGCATGACTCCTAATTCTGTGATTGCTCCAAAGGTAGACCAGCCGTTATCAACATCAGCGCCATTGCTGGAAACAAAACTCTCGACGGTGTCCCCTTCACGGATGCCTGTCGCCAGCTGGAAGAGGCCGGGGCCGCCGCTGTCGGCCTCAACTGTTTCAGGGGCCCCGCCACGATGTTACCCCTGCTCCGAGACATTCGCCGTGTATGCAAGGTGGGTCATATTGAGGTGGGTCATATTGTGAAGTGTGAATGGCCAAGGGCGCCATGTCCAAGTCTGCATACCTTGCAAAAGGAAAGCTGCGTTACGTGTGTATTCCAGTACTAACGTTTCCAGAAACCCCAAATGTGGCTAATCTTTGTTGAATAACTTGGTTGATGCATGTCACCATTTCCCAATTGCGCAGATCGATGCTCATGATATCAATCACAGGATTGTCTGATCCAGACTCGATTATTTATACAAACCGCCGTCGAATAGTTGAAATATTGCTGGGTGCGGCGTTCAACAAACACACAAACAAACAAACAAACAAACAAGCAAGCAAAAAACAAACAAACGAATGAATGACCATTTGTTTTGTTTGCTGGTATATAACTTCATATGATCGATAGATTAACTAGATATGTACACGACAGGATGATTAGCGACAAAAAAATACACACATACCAGTAGTCATCTTTAATACACATATTATTATGTAATGTTCAAAAATGGAAAAGATTTTCATCCGAGCTTATGTTTCCAGGGCCCTATCGCAGCGTTGCCTGTTCCCTACAGAACCTCTAGGGACTTCCCAACAATGCTTTCCCTGATTGACCCCTTCACAGGCAAGTATCAGATGTATCTGCATCCACAGGAACTCGATGATAGCGTGTATAACATAATATATTCGTATAGAAAAATTATATGTATATAGAAGGGTGTGATTTTTCTCTCTATACGAATATATTCTGTTATACACGCAGTCATCGAGTTCCTGTGTCTGCATCCGTTATCCACATGCACCAGGTCAAGCATGACGACCCCCGTAAAGAGCAGGGTTAGAACTGATTCTTCAGCAATCCATGCTTGTCGTAAAGGGCGAGGAATGGGTGGTCAGATTTTGTTGATCTGGTTATTACTATTTATAGACGGCCGTAATATAACTGGATATTGCTGCGTACGGAATTAAACAAACAACAAACAAACAAGCTGGAAGGGCTTCTCCAACCGAAGATTGTAATTCTCATCTACTCTATACCTTGTTTCAATTTGTTTTCGCTCTGTTGAGTGTTTCTGTAAGGCTTGGGGGCTGAGGGGGAGCCTAGTGGTTGAAGCGTTAACTCATCCCACAGAAGGCCCGGATTCGAATCCCCACATGGGTATCATGTGTGAAGCCTATTTCTGGTGTCCCCAGTCGTACAATTACTGGAATACTGGTAAACACGGCGTAACACAACGCTCACTCACTCACGCACGCACCCACCCACTCACTGTAGTGCTATTTTCTCACCATTTGCTTTGCACAAAAGCTTTTCTGAATGATATGATACCATAGCTTGTTATTTGTTTAGTGATAGAATTATATGTGTATCGGAATTATGTTCAATATGGTCTTTGAGATAAATGGTCAACATCTCCTCACCGAAAAACACTCCTGCTTCGATAATGCTTGGAATGTGTATAATCAATCGAACAGTCGGAGCTGTTATTATGACCAATTGTCCTCTTAAGTCTGCAGTTATTAGTATGATGATATCACTTCTTTTCATCACCTGAACATGTCATACGATTACTTGTATTGAAACGATTACTTAGAACGAAGTACCGATAAGAATTTATGGATGAACAACTTGTAACACCGTTATCAAACAAGTCATCACTTGCTTGACAACGGTGTAAGAACCTACACCGAAACGTCGCTCTTATTTGTAATAAAGTTGTTCATTCATAAATTCTTGTCTTGACTTAGTACTCCAACTTCTAAATGCATATCAATGAAGTTACTTAGAACCAACGGTTAGATTCAAGTTTCTGAATTATATATCGTCCTATTCGCTCATTTGTTTGTATCATACTACTCTAAACAAGATAACTTTGATCCAGAGGATTGACAGGGCACGTGTAGCATACCTCCTATTGTTGCAATTATCTCTACTGTCATAAAGCGACCATGTGTAACCCAGATGTTTTAACAACAACGATTTCCTGAAACATTTGTTATTGTTTCAAAGGAACAAGAGGCATTAAGTTGACATAATCATAGTGGTATACATGATAAATTTCAGCATCTTAAATGAATGCAATGGCATAAAATTTATTTTTGGCACATCATACGTCAGCAACATGTATTGCATTGTCTAGAATTTACGAACAATTATGGCAGTTAAACAATGGATGGATGGAATGGCATACAAATACTGTGTATATCAACTTCGGTAAAGTGTTTAATATATTTTCATCGACCCGTGAAGATCCGGGGTAGAATAGGCCTTCAGCAACCGATTCTTGACGTAAAAGGCGACTATGCTTGTCGTAAGAGGCAACTAACGAGATCGGGTGGACAGGCTCGCTGACTTGGTTGATGCATGTCATTGATCCCAGTTGCGTGGATCGATGCCCATGATGTCAATCACTTGGTTGTCTGGACTAGACTGGATTATTTACAGACCGCCGTCATATAGCTGGGATATTGCTGAGTGCGGCGTTAAACAACAAACTCACTCACCTCTTCGGGAACTGTCGCGGTGGTGACCTTTACCCTCGCGTGATCCTGACTCCAGGTGTTGGGTGTAGTGTGGTGATGGACGCTGTCGTACACGGAAACTTGGTCAACGCTTCCCGCTGTTCCCCATGACAGACCTTGTTTCCCTTCATTGTCAGCGGCAAACATTTTTAGTGTAATAATTTACAGTTAGGTTTGTTCAACTAAAAATTTACTGATGCTTATTTTTGTATTTCATGTAACACATACCACTATATCTGTGTGAGACAAACGTCCCTCCAGAGCTTACTCCTCCCCATGCTCCCATGTGCATTTCTATAACAAGTATGGCGCCGTGCAATGTGGGCAGTGCATGGATTAGAACCATAATTATCTACCACTAACAGTTCCTGAGGTAACTACCAATTTATTCCACAAGCGATAGATCTAAAGCACCACAACCCGGTATGTAGAGTAGCACCCCTTCGCTGTCCCACAATATACCGGTCGTGAGTGAGCGAGAGTGGGTGGGTGGGTGAGTGAGTGAGTGGGTGAGTGAGTGAGTGAGTGCGTGGGTGGGTAGGGTGGGTGGGTGGGTGAGTGAGTGAGTGAGTGGGTGGGTGGGTAGGGTGGGTGGGTGGGTGAGTGAGTGAGTGAGTGCGTGGGTGGGTAGGGTGGGTGGGTGGGTGGGTGAGTGAGTGAGTGAGTGGGTGGGTGGGTGGGTGGGTGGGTGAGTGAGTGAGTGAGTGCTTATGCCGCTTTGAAAAGTATTTCAGTTATTCCACGGCGTGTCAGTTTTTGGTGTGGAGGGAAACCCAAATGTGATTCATTTCTTCCACGTTTACCACTTTGGTGAAACCCAGAGCACGTGTATGGTGCAAAATACATAAACAGGATTCCAACCCTCAATCATAAGTTTATAACCAGTGTAAAAAACGTAGCTCTGCACACTCTCTTTGGGACTTTGGTTTTTGACTTGCCTGTTCTCGTGATTTGGGACGTTCTTCAAACATTATGCTAACGTGCCTGATATGGTTGAAACACTGTTGAAATCGGCCTTACATTTTATACTTTTCCTCCTTATGATACTGAAACTTTATAAATTATTTTTTAATATTCCATTTCATATTATTTATATTCTAAAACAGGTAAGCGGGCGTTCCCCGACGTTTCCTCCCAACTCTGTGGTGTGGCAGAAATAACGGCGTTTGCGAAGGAATGCAAGGAAATTGGTGTTCAGGTCATCGGTGTCTGCTGCGGCAACACTCCTGCCATGACCAGAGCCGTCGCCGAAGTGTACGGCCGTACTCCCCCCGCCTCCAAGTTCTCCCCATTCATGGAGAAGCACTTTATCTTCGGGAAGGACAAGTCGGACTACTTCTCTGATGATTACTATCTGTCCAATCTGAGTGCTGCGGTCAGCAAAGCTCCATGAACATTTTTTAAAATTCAAACTTAATTATCATGTTTAACGTTTGTATCAAACAGGCTGAGATGAAATAAATAGGTTGGTATTATACTAATAAAAAGTCGTCCTGTTGAATGCACAATTCTGTTCTTTAAAGTGTTGTTCATATATGTAAAAACTGACATCCCCCATGCTTGATAAAAGAGTCGAGCTGTAGGTATTTGATATGTAATATGTAAGTATTTAAACTATTTGTCTCTTTAATCTATATCTGTGCTATGATCCAGTTATGACCAGTAACTGTTTGACAAAGGGTCTCCATTATTCACGCGACACCTTCATAAATATGCAGTATGTGTACATCGCTCCTGTCTAAGTCCAAGCAAATTTACCGGCATGCCATGCACCACAACGTCTTGCCACTTGTGTACGTTGTAATGCATACTGTGGTTAGTGAATAAAGAAGTCAATGTCGCAGGTGTATTCATATCCGGATCTCTGTAACAGTAAAAAACACTCCAAACCAGATGGAAGCGCCTGTATCACAGTGTGACCTCAACTGTCAGGACACCACGTTCTATTTGGATCATCCGTGTTCCAATACCGTGAATGCCAATGCTAATTACTGGTCTGTCCGTGACATTTTGCGTAAGTGCAGATGAAAAAACCCCAACACCAACAAAACATAAAACAGGTATGGAAAGCTGCTGGGACATTGAGATTGTTTTTGCAAAGTAATTACATGTATCATACATCAGTTATAACTATTGTATGTACCGCCCATTCGGGAGCATTCAACAATTTTTATTCCTGGTATCTATTTACGATAGGGAAACACACGATACGTTTAAAGTGATTGAGTGAGTTGGGTTTAACGCCGCTTTTAACAGTATTCCAGTTATATCACGGCGTGTCAGCTTAATGTGGGAGGAAAGCCCGAAGTGATGCAGGTCTTAGACGTTTACCACTTCGGTGAAACCCACGAGCACGGGTATGGTGCTGACAAACCTAGAAACATAATTGGGGAGAACCGGGATTCGAACCCACAATCATAGGTTTCTGGCGTGCCCAACGGACGCAACTCTGCACAGCGAATCGCGGCGCTTGAGACGACTGGGCCACCCGTGCCCCCGATACGTTTAAAAACGGTATATATTAAATACCCTTCCTGGCGCTCGGCATTAAGGGAATGAAACAAGCACTTGTCGGCTCGGGGTCACAATAATATGCTTGACTTGGGTACAAACAAACAAATAAACAGACACACACAGACGCCTATATAAACTTACTGCGAACGTAAGGCAATGTTTTACAGAAAGAACATGCTAAAGAAAAGATAAATATGAGGCTTTCTTCAACTGAAAAGTTTCATCTTTAGCCAATATTACACACTGGCATCCTTTAACAATTGACATGTGCAGTGTTACACAGCACGAACTTCCCTACTGCCTATGGGTGTTGCAATCGTATTTAGCGCCGCAATTTGCTTTTCAGAGTTGCATTCCTTGGGCGAGACAGTAATCAATGGTTGTGAGTCCGAATCCATGTTCGCTTGATTATGTTTCTGTTTTTGTGAGAACCATACCCGTGCTTTAGGTTTCATCTTTCTATATCGTGACGTTTCTGACACCTAACCTTGAATGTTTGACTTGTTTAAAATATCTTATATACAGTCTCGTCATTATTTCACTCCGATAAATACACCTATTCGTTTGCCTTATAAACTTTGGGCGGTTATGCTATGCTTTTTTCACTCCTCGACTCGTTTAAACAAATGCTTAAGGCTACAATCGGAAAAAAAATGCATTTGTTAATGAGTCGACGCCTATGTTATTGAAAACCTTTGACAAATATATTCGCAATGTCAAACGCGTCCGATGGTTTCTCTGCTGAAGTGAGTACGGGTGGCTGATTCGTCTAAGTCAGAGTTGTGGCAATTAGTTGTGCCAGAAACATACATGTGTCATCGTCGGTTCGAATCCCAGATTTGCCCTGATTATGTTCAAAGTCTGTCCACACCTTAATCCTGCTCCTAGGTTTAAACAAAGAGGTAAACGTCTAAGACCTGCATCATTTCGGGCTTTCCGCCCACATGTAGCTGACACCCTGTGATATAACTACAATACTGTTCAAAACGGTGTTAAATCACTCACTCACTCTAAGTTTTGTTTGTTTATTGTTTAACTCCGCACTCAGCAGTATTCCAGCTATATGACGGCGGTCTGTAAATAATTTATCTTGACAAGACAATGCAGTGATTGACATCATGAGCATCGATCGACGCAGTTGGGAACGATGACATGCATCAACCAAGTCAGCGAGCCTGACCAGCTGATCTCGTTAGTCGACTCTTACGACAAGCATAGTTGAATGTTACTACAAGCATGGGTTGCTGAAGACCTATTCTACCCCGGATCTTCACGGATCACTCACTATAAGTTCCTTTTTTTTCCCAATTAGATGTAAATACGAATAAATGAAGTTAAGCTTTATATTCATTATAACCAGTCGTAGATAAAGGTCTCTCGATAACCTTCCAACCAACACTCACAAAAGGTGGTCAAATGTATGGCCTTAAGGGTCTACCATAGTGTGCGTCCTGGTATATAAAGACACCAGTGCACTAGAACGTTATCAGTTACATAATCGGCATCAGACAACCACCACATAGGACGCACAATGCCCAAGAAAGGTAAGGGATAGTTGACAGTCGAAAGTGACAACATCACATCGGTAGCTTGCGGTAGATGTGTGACAGACAATGTTTAGTATCAGGCAATATGTATATTGAGTGATTCACGCAGGCAATGCACATATTGACTGAAATTTTGAGTCAGTATACATGTATGATGCCTGAAAAACGAAACTGGATTGTAGACAGATTGACTGAAATGAATAAGACTCCTTAATTTAATCTCCTTATTTAATTTGGATCTATTTTGATCTTACGAAAATCTAACTTTTGAAAGTAATTAAAAAATGTTTCCACAATGAATTGATTGGTTCTTCAAAGATGATTGAATACTGGAGTCCTTTTTAATGTTAATTATCTTTATTAACATAACATTCAATTCAGTTACAGTAAGATTGTTGCACATAAGTGTTTGCAGTTGTAACATGTGAACACATACATCTTCAGTCTAAATGTTAACATTTCTTGTTGGCACATGTAAGATAGGAGTGGCACCTGCTGTTGCATCTTAAACCTGCCTTGAACATTTGCATCTATTTGTCTGACACTGTTTGCCTCTGACTACACAACCACACTTGGCAAAGCCCTGACCACCGCACTTGGACTTAGTTTGCACTGGCTTGCGGAGGCCCAGCTCTTTACACATGTCCTCAACGTTGTACAGCTGTTGGGTGCACAGGATGAACTGGTTTTTGATGTGGTCCCTTCATGATTCCTGCTCGAACAGCTTCCCTGATACTGGTCCTTGTCGTCTCCGTCCCCAATGGCGCCCATGCTATTACGAGGCATTCGTCACCATTCGCCCCTTTCCGTAGCCACTCGTCCCCCTATCGATGAATGTTATGTGCGAAAATACGACAAACCAATCAGAATGCGCGTATGATTTCAAATTCTTCGTCAAAGAATCCCTCAGAAATAATTTTTGATTTTACATATGTCTAAAAATATACCAAAGACACAGTTAAATGTGTTCAATCATACTGTATAATTCCGCACGTCCTGATGTGTTTTAAATTGCATCTGAAATATATATTATATATTTGGAAAATGTGTGAACGATTACGCAACGAGTTGACAATTGTTTTAGGTAAGCCCGTTTCACTAAGAAGGAACCCGGTCGCAAAAATGGCCACGAGAGGGACACGAGTCGCTATTCGGCTTGTCCCGGAATAACACGAGTTGGTCACGAATGATTACGAGGGTCGCCTTTACCACGATCGACAAGCGGGATGGGAACTGTTGCATTATCACCGGGGTTGTCAGGAACATGCTCAAGACGACTACGCTCGACAATGCGTTGAGCCTGTGAAAGTTGACCATCTGCTGCCCCTTTTCGCTGTGTAGTCACTAATACCCGTAAAGAAATACAAGAGTCCGTCTTGACGACATTATTGAACCAATAAAGCCGTGGTAAGAATTGGTTTCCGTTTACCTATCAATGTATTAAGCGCAAACAAATACATTAAAACGCACTACCAATATATATTACAGGTCTTCTAGAGCGCCTACAGAATGGCGGCGACGTCATCATGGCTGAAGGCTTCGTGTTTGAGTTTGAGAGAAGGGGCTATCTACGCGCAGGGCCGTTTGTTCCAGAGGTGGTCCTGGATTATCCACACCTTGTCAGAAGTCTGAGTGAGGAGTTTGTCCACGCTGGAAGTGAAGTCGTCCTGGCGTTTACTGTAAGTTATGCAACATACGTGCCATAATATAATGATATACACGTAATACGCTTATGCATATAATAGTTAAGAACAGAGTTTGCTCTTCTCCCAGACTGTACTGTATTACAGTAAAAGCACGCTATATTACTAAGGAAACGTTAGATCACGGGGAGGTAAATTGAACAGCGTCATGACGTCAGCCCATTGTAACGAAACTCGGAAACTGTACGTAACTGTAATCGGCGCCTTTGATCTTTTATTGAAGCGGCTTGAAATTCTAGACTGTGTATTGTATGCCATGATTGATATTCTGCTGTCAGAATTTGTCACTATCAACATCCAAGCGTATTTCGTGGACAATTTTACCTGGTTTGTTTGAAAGGTAGCTTCATCAAGAAGTACAATAGAATCACACAGATCTGGGCCCCGTTCCTCAAAGCAATCTTAGCGCTAAGGTGATCGTAAGTCCCATACTTTAACATAGGCTTACGATCATCGTAGTGCTAAGATCGCTTTGAGGAACGGAGCCCAGGGCTATATCGGTTCGCCCCGGTGATGTTTCTAGACCTGTCAGAACCATACACGTGCTCGTGGGTTTCACCAAAGTGGTAAACGTTTGAGACCTGCATCACTTCGGGCTTTCCTCCCATTTTAGGCTGACACGCCCTGATAAAACCGGAATACTGTTCATAGCGGAATTAAATCCAAATCACTCATTCACTCTGGGCTGTATACCCAGTCAATTATCATGTAGGCGCCCCATGCATATGCCATATGAATGTTCATACGAATGTTGTCTTAAGTAATAAAGTCGAATTTATTAAATATAACTCTTTTCGATTGATGACTCTTTATTAGGGTAAAATATATATTCCTGTTGACCCCAGTATTATGGCCACCGGGAGAAGCTGAGGCTGATCGGGAAGGAGCATCTTCTGGAGAAACTGAACAAGGATGCTCTGAAGATTGCGAAGGAAGTGGCTGACGAGTCCGGGACGCTGATGGCGGGGAACATCTGCAACACTACTGTCTACAGGGGCAACAGCCAGGAGCACATAAAACAGGCTGAGGCCATATTCAAGGTACTTAAGTCAAATAAAAGTGTCCAAACCATTTACTAATCATAAGAAAACTCTACGGTCATCGTACTGGTACGCCTATATCATCGGCATGTGCTTATGAATCGCTATCACTTTGTGATGGTACTAGGTGTTGGCAAAATGGTGAGCGCATCCTTCCCCACCAATGGCACTCATAGATCCCCAAAGCATCCACTTAACAGAAATAAAAATATCAAAATGGATACAATAGTTCCATATCGACCTCCGCTGGTCAGTTGAGATTCCTCTGTAATCTTTGTAGCATTGGGTCTCAATATGGTGGCGATATGGGCGCAACCGCGCAAGCCAGTTTCTTTTGTTAACATTTCTCCCATATATGACGTGTCTAAATCGATAATGGTTGATTTGATGGAGATTTTAACTTTACAGGAACAAATTGAGTGGGCGGTTGAATACGATGCGGATTTTATTTTGGCTGAGACATTCCCAGAATTTGGTGAGGCTCTCCTTGCCCTTGAAAGTATCAAGAAATATGGAAAAGGTAACACAAATATGCATAAGTACTGTATTCTCGATTTGACATCATATTGTGTATATCGATTACATTAAGGCCGCTGTACAATGTATTTGTGGTGGCACGTGGTCACTCTGTACAGTGCGCAGGTCACGGATCAGGCGTTAAGCAACTTTGGTCGCAGACAGATATTGGATGGTTGAACGCGTTCGGCGGCTTGATTCCTGCGAGTTCTAAGGCTTCGGCCCTGCCCCACGCTGAAGGACAGTCTGAAGTATAAATGCTTGTGCTCCCACAAATGATTAACTCATACAAATCTTTATCTATCTCAATCAACGCTATAAATATAGCTCTCTACTCTGATTTATGATATTAATGCATACGAAAATGGTGCCATGCATTTTAGTCGTTAAAGGGAGAAGTCGTTAAAGATAGAAGTCGTAAAAGATAGAAGTCGTAAAAGAGAGAAGTCGTAAAAGATAGAAGTCGTAAAAGAGAGAAGTCGTAAAAGATAGAAGTCGTAAAAGATAGAAGTCGTAAAAGAGAGAAGTCGTAAAAGATATAAGGGCCACTGTGTAGAGAGATGGATCGGGTTGTACACGCTGCTCCGGATGCCTTGACGAAACAAACACGCATGTGTGGTTATATAATTGAATTATGTATATCCTTGTTGAATAACAAAATCTTTAGCAGTCACAAAACCAAACCTACCATGTGTTCGTACTTTGCATATACACCAAACATACATTCTCAGGTTAGATGTCTGCCTACACTTTGCAAGCTGATATTTTCCATGCATATGATTCACCAAGCATTACCTCTTTCAAAGCTTTGAAGAATCATTTTGGCACTGACCATGACATATTCGCTATTCATTCATTGTAAGTAAATACGTGTGTAACTACACCACTCTTCTAGAAAGTTCAAATGTAACAGCCATACAAACAGCAACATCAACATCGGTATTAACAGAAGTACGTGGGAATATGTCAGCATGTCTCCTAGTTCTGTGATTGCCCCAAAGGTAGACCAGCCGTTGTCAACTTGAGCGCTATAGCTGGAGACAAGACCCTCGACGGTGTCCCCTTCACGGATGCCTGTCGCCAGCTGGAAGAGGCTGGGGCCGCCGCTGTCGGCTTCAACTGCTTCAGGGGCCCCGCCTCGATGTTACCCCTACTCCGAGACATTCGCCGTGTATGCAAGGTGGGTCAGATTGTGACGTGTAAATGGTCAAGAGCGCCATGTCCAAGTCTGCATGCCTTGAAAAGGGAAAGCTGCGTCACATTCTTTCCAGAAACACAAAATGCGGATAATGTTTGTTGAATAACTTGGTGAGAAAGATATTCTGAAAATCCTTAGTGTTTAATCGTATGGTTCAAATAAGACAATAAAGCGCAATGCGAATTAATTAACCACCGATTCAAGCTCTAACTATTTTAGGTCTTTGAGAATCTTTGTTACTGACTGAGTTGCGTTTAACGCCGCTTTTAACAGTAGTCCAGTTATACACGGTGTGTCCGCTCAATGTGGGAGGAAAGCCCGGAATTATGCAGGTCTTTTAGTGAAATCCACGAGCACAGATATAATGCTGACAATCCTAGAAACATAATCGGTATTCGAACCCACAACCATAGGTTTCTGGCTAACGAACAACGAATTCAGCATTCACGTATGAGCTTCTATTTGCAACGTGGGGCGCATTTTCATTGGTGACGTCAGATCCCGACGTGTCGTCACGCAACGCAATATTGTGACGTCAAAATATAGAACATTGTGGCAGTACTCACAGTCACTTTTGCTGAAACGATAACGGACGTGTCAAAAAATAGGAATTAAGTCATGTACATGTATACAGTGTAGGAATGAATGGTAACGTAATGACGTACAAGTATATAGTGTACGGATTAAGGAAGCCGTAAAGCTACGGATGAGATTTGGTCTCCAGCAACCATATTTTTGTCATTAGAAGCGACTAACGGGATCGAGTGGTCAGGTTCGCTGACTTGGTTGATGCATGTCATCGTTTTCCAATTGCGTAGGTCGATGCTCATGATGTCAGCCACTGGATTGTCTGGTCCGGATCGAATATTTACTGACCGCCGTCATATAGCTGTTACAACACTTCATACGGTCGATAAATAGACTTAATATGTACACGACAGAATGATTTGCCTGAAGACACAAAAGTATACATACATGAGGGTTAACTTCACATATTATTGTGTTATGTTCAGCAATGGAAAATGTGTTCACATGTGCTTTCCAGGGTCCGATCGCAGCTTTCCCTGTTCCGTACAGGACCTCTAAGGAGTTCCCAGTATATCTGTCCTTGATTGACCCCTTCACAGGCAAGTATATGCTGCACCTGCTTCAAGTAATCTTTCCACGTGTTGATCTGGGTTAGGAGTGGTGTTCGGCAACCTATGCTTGCCATAAGAGGCGACTGACTGGATCGGGTGGTCACGCTCGCTGACTTCGTTCATACATATAATTGTATCCCAATTGCGTAGATCGATGCTCTTGATGTCCATCACTGGATTGTCTGGTCCAGACTCGATTATTTAGAGACCACCTTCATACAGGTTGAATATTGCTATATTGAATATTACGATGACATTCATCAACCAAGACTGAGTGAGTATGGTTTTACGCCCCTTTTAGCAATATTCCAGCAAAATTACGGCGGGGGACACCAGAAATGGGCTTCACACATTGTACCCATGTCGGGAATCGAACCCGGGTCTTTGGCGTCACGAGCGAACGCTTTAACCACCAGGCTACCCCACCACCCACAAGAATAAGAAAGAGGCCGACGGTCACTTGGTTATTGTGATGATCGGGTCAAGGGACTTAATAGAATTGAGATATCACGGATAGATTCTGATGATGTTGGGCATGATGTCAATGCTGGATTGTCTGGACGATTATTTACAGACCGCCGTCATATAGCGGTGACATTGCTAAGTGCGGCGTTAAACAAAATTCACCCGTGTCTCTTGTCGGTTTGAATCCCGAATACACACTGATTAGACTTTGGTCTCTGACTCACAGGTTCTCGTCATGGTTTGGCGCTTTCTTTAAACTTTATGCTGACATGCCTGCTATGGTTGAAATGCTGTTGAAATCGGCGTTTACATTCAACACCTTTCCTCCCTATGATACTGTTACTATCTTTTGAGAATATGATAATACATGTCTTATTCATATTCTAAAACAGGTAAGCGGGCGTTCCCCGACGTTTCCTCCCAACTCTGTGGTGTGGCAGAAATAACGGCGTTTGCGAAGGAATGCAAGGAAATTGGTGTTCAGGTCATCGGTGTCTGCTGTGGCAACACTCCCGCCATGACCAGAGCCGTCGCCGAAGTGTACGGCCGTACTCCCCCCGCCTCCAAGTTCTCCCCATTCATGGAGAAGCACTATATCTTCGGGAAGGACAAGTCGGACTACTTCTCTGATGATTACTATCTGTCCAATATGAGTGCTGCCGTCAGCAAAGCTCCATGAACACTTTTTAAAATTCAAACTTAATAATTATATATCGGACAGGCTGAGATGAAATGTACAGGTTGAGTTATGACGTTAGAGAATCCAAATCCAGATAATATACATGTACAGTGAAACCTCTTTAATCTGGACACCGTCACCATGGGAATAAGATTCCTGAGAGTTTCTTGGGCTTCGGCCCTGCTCCACACTGAAACACGTGCAGCACATGTGGTGCCTCCTTCAGCAAGTTTGTTTGTTGTTTAACGCCGCACTCCGCAATATTCCAGCTATATGACGGCGGTCTGTAAATAATCGAGGCTGGACCAAACAATCCAGGGATTGACATCATGAGCATCGATCCACGCAATTGGGATCGATGACATGTATGAAACAAGTCATCGAGCCTGACCGACCGATCCCGTTAGTCGCTGTTACGACAAGCATGGTCGCCTTTTACGGCGAGCATGGGTTGCTGTAGACCTATTCTACCCCGGATCTTCAAGTGCATAATGTGTGCCTATATATGTTGTCCCCCGCCTTGATATTGCTGGAATATTGCTAAAAGCTGCGTAAAACCATACTCACTCACTCACTAACTCACTCATTATATAAGCAAGTGACTTTATTCAAAATATGCCTGTACATCCAGCAGTGAATAGGTAGCATGACTAGCGCCTCACATGCAGCTTGGATTGTATACTCCCCAGGGCGCTGAGAACAAGACTCAAGTGCACACTGATCCATTGACCGGCGTAATAATGTAACACTTTGAGCATGCTTAAAGGTTTAGATTTAGCACATTATATATATGAACATTATTCACATATACGTCTCCAACAATGTCGCTTGACGGTGTCTCCTGACTAACGGGTCCGGATTAACAATGTTTCACGTTGTTCTCAAAGGTAACTGATACAATAAAGACAATACCCGATAACTAAAAATGAATACCGATCACACGGACAATATGATTACACGGAAGATAGATTTTTAACAGTTGACAACAAATAACGTGTTTAGACCACTTAAACGTTGGGAGAAAAAGTCAACAATGTCCTAAATTATTACATTGAACTTTATGCATCATTGAATGTCACGAGGCTGATGTTTGCCTCTAATGGCAGGACATAAAACAAGAAATATCTTTTGAAATATGTTTGTGTTTGATTATTTTCTTGTCAAGGTGAGATAAGTATACGTGTACATAGTGGGCACCGCTCCATTCCCAAAAAGTAATGATGACCGCCTCCGTGGTCTAGTGGTAGAGCGTCCGCCCGGAGAGCGGAAGGTCCGGGGTTTCGATCCCCGGCCGCGTCATACCAAAAGACATTAACAGATGGTCTTTTTTGTTACCCTGCCTGGCGCTCGGCAGTAAGGGGTTAAAACAAGGACTAGTCGGCTCGGAGTCAGTATACTGTGTCTGAGTGGGGTATTCATGTTCACCTGTGGCATGGTATCTCAGTGAGCTAGCACTACAAGGCGGCATCAGCCCGGACAATTACAAGCAGCCACACACACACACACACGTGCATGCACGTCGCTATATAAGCGCAATAATCTTGGAAGCGAAGTTGAAACCCATTTCACCTCGCTTATAAGTTATGAAACACATCGGGTACAAGTAAGCAGAACTACTTTAAATATTGGATTATTGTTCGAAAATAAAAAAAACAAGATTGAAGAATGGATGAGTGAGTGAGTGAGTGAGTGAGTTTTGTACTGCATTTCAACTATGTCACAGCATGTCAGCTTGGTTTGGGAGAAAAGTTAAAAGCGAACATCATTTTGATGAAACACAAGAGCACCGGGATTCGAAGCCATGATTCCAGGGGCGGTCGGGTAGCCTCGTTGTTAAAGCTATCGCTCGTCACGCCGAAGACCCGGGTTCGATTCCCTACATGGGTACAATGTGTGAAGCCCATTTCTGGTGCCCCGAAGCCCTCCCTCCCGCCCCCACCCCCACCCCCGTGATATTGCTGGAATATTGCTAAAAGCGGCGTAACACCATACTCATTCACTCATTCACGAAACCACGATTCCAATTCCAGTCAGGAAGAAGTTTTTTTTCTGAAGCCGCCCTGAAAAAACAATTCACGGCAGCTTTGAGGTCATCGTTGTCGTCATAGCGCTTTCCACGAAGGTGTTCTTTCAGTTTAGGAAACAGGTGGAAATCACCTGGTGCCAGTCAGGCAAGTATGGAGGGTGGGGAAGCTCTACGAAACCACATTGTCGCACAGCAGCTTTTGCAAGTCGAGAGATGTGAGAAGAGGCATTGTCATGAATTTTCTTTGATAGAATCTCTCATGCGTTGACGCAAAACAGCATGCTTGGATACAGTGGCCATAACTTTCTTCATTGATCTTAAAGACTAGTATTTTTTTGGTGCCGGAGAAGTGGAATGGTGTTATTCCAGGGATTGACGTTTAGACCCGTTTTGACCCACGTTTAGTGGTAGACCCATGTTTCATCACCCGTTACTAATCTCTTTTTGAATAAGACGAAATCCTCCTCAATTAGTTATAAATTTTCTCTGTCAATGTCGTTTCTTTTTCCCTTAAGAACAGAATTTAGAAACTTTGTCACACAACGAGAAGATGTTTCATCACCCGGTACTAATCTCTTTTTGAATAAGACGAAATCCTCCTCAATTAGTTATAAATTTTCTCTGGCAATGTCGTTTCTTTTTTCCTTAAGAACAGAATTTAGAAACTTTGTCACACAACGAGAAGATATCTGTGTAAATGTTCATGAATAATATACTGAACAACAAAAGTTCCTGTGACATTGAATAAGATTTAATGCAGAGTTATGTTTTTTACCAAATCTGAATCAATTTCGGTTTGCAACGGATAAAAGACTCCTGTTAGTGTTCAAATGGTTTAATTTGCCATACTGACTTCAGAAAATTTCATAAAACACACGAACATGCCAAAATGTCAACTTACAAATCAATAGCGTGTGTGTCCACCTCTAGTTGCGATGCAAGCAACACATCTTCGTCTCATGGAATGGACCAGGCGTCTCACAAAGTCCTGTGTGATATCTGTCCATATCTGCTGGAGCATGTTTCGAAGTTCCTGGAGTGTCTGTGGAACACGTGGTTGACGTCGAAGGCGTCGATCCATCCCATCCCACATGTGCTCGATTGGTGAGAGATCAGGGGAGCGAGCCGGCCAGGGGATGACATTCACGTTGTTTTGTTGAAGGGGATCCTGAACAAATCGAGCAATATGAGGCCGGGCGTTGTCATGTTGAAAGGTAATGCCTGAGCCATGACGACGCAAAAACGGTAGAACAACAGGGCCGATGATCTCGTCGCGGTTGCGCTGTCCATTGAGATTTCCCTCAATCTGGGAGAACAAACCTCGATGATGACCCTAGGTCTCCCTTAACGTCCCTTAACTTCTTTCAGTGAAGATTCAATTAAGGAGATAGAAAAAACTTATACTGTCAGATAGACGTATTACCATTGGTGAACTTGAGGAAGTCATGGACCCATTGAAACTATATTCAACAACAAAAGTTCCTGTGACACCAATATTTTAAGTACAGTTTGGTTTTCAATATTGTAGTACATGTATGGAATCAAGTCACAAAAACGCAACTGCTACAGAAAAGCATGCATTCTATGCAAAAGTTGACGTTTATTTAAGCCCCATGCATTTCATTACCCAAGAATGGGTATAAAAACATGTGCCTTTACGGGATTCCATATGCATTGTTTAGCATCGTGCTGACAAACACTCAGAAAAACAACAAAATTACGCAATTATTCAACATTACGAAATGCCACGCCTGTCCGAAAATGAGCGTCTGCGAGCAATTGGTATGCTTGAAGCAGGATCGAGTCAACGTGATGTTGCAAGACAATTTAACGTCCACAGAAATATCATTTGGTGTTTATTGCAACGTTGGCAACAGACGAATGCAGTCAGAGACCATCCTCGGAGTGGCAGGTCACGCGTAACCAATAATCGACAAGACGACTGGATTCGAACAACACACCTACGAAATCGATTCCAGTCAGCAACAGTGACTGCAAGAAGCATCCCTGGCCTTCGACGAATATCTTCACAAACCACAAGGTTTGATGTGGTTACCTGTTTCAAGATGATGCATCAGCTATTTTGTAACCATGGCTTCCATATCTTTGCACATGTTTGAAGTGAGTGTGGTAGGGCAACGTCTTTCCCTTGCTTTAGAAGCGGGATAACTGCAGTATGTTTCAATGCTTTTGGGACTTGTCCTTTGGACCATATCGTGTTATACAACTCAGTAAGTAAGCTTCTGGTTTGATCAGGCAGGTTGGCTCTTCAATATCTTGTAACTGGTTGTGTCAAGACCAGGTGCATAGCATGTTGCATCATCAAATATTATAAATCATCAAAATCTACCACAGTAAATGGTATATTGTATTCCAGATGCTTGCTTTACGGCTGTGTTAATATCTTAGGCATATGCACTTTCTCCTGTTGGAATTCTTTGCTGCATTGTTTTGTTGCTGCTGACAGATGAGAAGTACTCAGCTTTAATGTTGGCCTTTTCTTTGACTGTATGGACGTTGGCTAATTTGGGAATGCTTACCACTGATTGCGTGTATTTTGCTTCAAACTGTTTCAGCATTTTGTCTGCCATGGCTCTTTTTTAGAATCGTCAATGAGGTGTCTTACTTTTGTCCTGGCTCCTCGGACTTGGGCGAAGGCTGATTAGTTCCTTTTGACTTATTAAGGGCTTCTCACGCTCTTAGCTTCTGTTATTTCTCTGTTCCACCCTGGAACCGGAGGTTTTTGCCGGTTTGGGGGGCTTTTGTGGAATTGATTTTTCAGCTGCAGCAAAAATTGCGGAGGTGAGATTTGGGCAAAAAACGGAGGCATTTTCTGAAGATTTAAATGATGTACAAGTTTCCCTGAATGTGGGCCAATCAGCCTCTGCATAGTATCATGTGAGGTGAGGATTGGGCTATTTCTCTATTGTGGTGGGCTACCTATGTAGGTATGGGAAGGTGGTCGTTTCCCTAGGTGTCATCATGGACTTGCCATTGGCAATGTGAGGCGAGATTCTTTGGGGCAATTGTGAGGCAATTGGTGTGGGACTGCCGTTGTTTAGAGTTATGAGATTATTTTCTTCAACTCATTTCTCTACGATTCTGACGTATTTGAACGAATCATTCCTGTCTTCCCATAAAAGACTGGGCGTTAAAGTCACCAAGGATTATCCCATTGTTGCCTACTATTTGAGCTAGTCTATTTAGAGCTTCTGTGGTTGTTTCATGGGTAACCCTGTGGTATACCTTAGCTAATTCATTGCCAATTGCCAGGTTAAGGAGATTACTTGGGTTTCAACGTTTCCTAAATTGTTTCGATATTTGTGGAGGTACAGCTGTCGTGGACAAGGGAGATAAGTCCTCCATGTTTTGGACATTTCGGTGCCAGGGATGAAAGTGTTGCAGGTTCCTTTGCAAGAAACTCAGGAGCAGTTTTTGCACTTGGATGGCTGGTGTACGTGATATTTTTGTATGTCCATAGAGCATACAGGAGAAATGTGAAATGTATCCCGAAATTAAGGCAGCATAACACCCTTCGCCAACGTAGTGGTCTTTACATCCATCGATTCATCGTTACACCCTAAGCCAACGTAGTGGTCTTTACATCAATCGAGTCATCGTTACACCCTTAGCCAACGTAGTGGTCTTTACATCAATCGATTCATCGTTACATCCCCAGCCAACGTAGTGGTCTTTACATCAATCGATTCATCGTTACATCTTCAGCCAACGTAGTGGTCTTTACATCAATCGATTCATCGCTACACCCTTAGCCAACGTAGTGGTCGCTACATCTATCGAATCATCGTTACACCCTCAGTCAACGTAGTGGTCTCTACATCAATCGATTCATCGTTACACCCTCAGCAAACGTAGTGATCTTTACATCAATCGATTCATCGTTACACCCTCAGTCAACGTAGCGGTCTCTACATCAATCGATTCATCGTTACACCCTCAGTCAACGTAGTGGTCTCTATATCAATCGATTCATCGTTACACCCTCAGTCAACGTAGTGGTCTCTACATCAAACGATTCATCGTTACACCCTCAGCCAACGTAGTGGTCTCTACATCAATCGATTCATCGTTACACCCTCAGCCAACGTAGCGGTCTCTACATCAAACGATTCATCGTTACACCCTCAGCCAACGTAGTGGTCTCTACATCAATCGATTCATCGTTACACCCTTAGCCAACGTAGTGGTCTCTACATCAATCGATTCATCGTTACACCCTTAGCCAACGTAGTGGTCTCTACATCAATCGATTCATCGTTACACCCTCAGCCAACGTAGCGGTCTCTACATCAAACGATTCATCGTTACACCCTCAGCCAACGTAGTGGTCTCTACATCAATCGATTCATCGTTACACCCTTAGCCAACGTATTGGTCTTTACATCAATCGAGTCCTCGTTACACCCTTAGCCAACGTAGTGGTCTCTACATCAATCGATTCATCGTTACACCCTTAGCCAATGTAGTGGTCTCTACATCAATCGATTCATCGTTACACCCTCAGCCAACGTAGTGGTCTCTACATCAATCGATTCATCGTTACACCCTTAGCCAACGTAGTGGTCTCTACATCAATCGATTCATCATTACACCCTCAGCCAACGTAGTGGTCTCTACATCAATCGATTCATCGTTACACCCTTAGCGAACGTAGTGGTCTTTACATCAGTCGATTCATCGTTACACCCTTAGCCAACGTAGTGGTCTTTACATCAATCGATTCTTCGTTACACCCTTAGCCAACGTAGTGGTCTCTATATCAATCGATTCTTCGTTACAAGCTTAGCCATTGTAGTGGTCGTTACATCAATCGAGTCATCGTTACACCCTTAGCCAACGTAGTGGTCTCTACATCAATCGATTCTTCGTTACACCCTTAGCCAACGTAGTGGTCTCTACATCAGTCGATTCATCGTTACACCCTTAGCCAACGTAGTGGTCTTTGCATCAATCGATTCATCGTTACACCCTCAGCCAACGTAGTGTGATCTCTACATCAATCGGTTCATCGTTACACCCTTAGCCAACGTAGTGGTCTCTACATCAATCTATTCATCGTTACACCCTTAGTCCACGTAGTGGTCTTTACATCAATCGAGTCATCGTAACATCCTTAGCCACTGAAGTGGTCTCTCAACAATCGATTCATCGTTACACCCTTAGCCAACGTATTGGTCTTTACATCAGTCGATTCATCGTTACACCCTCAGCCAACGTAGTGGTCTCTACATCAATCGATTCGTCGTTACACCCTCAGCCAACGTAGTGGTCTTTACATCAATCGATTCGTCGTTACACCCTTAGCCAACGTAGTGGTCTTTGCATCAATCGATTCATCGTTACACCCTTAGCCAATGTAGTGGTCTCTACATCAATCGATTCATCGTTACACCCTCAGCCAACGTAGTGGTCTCTACATCAATCGATTCATCGTTACACCCTCAGCCAACGTAGTGTGATCTCTACATCAATCGATTCATCGTTACACCCTTAGCCAACGTAGTGGTCTTTACATCAATCTATTCATCGTTACACCCTTAGCCAACGTAGTGGTCTTTACATCAATCGATTCATCGTTTCACTCTCAGCCAACGTAGTGGTCTCTACATCAATCGATTCATCGTTACACCCTCAGCCAACGTAGTGGTCTTTACATCAATCGATTCATCGTTACACCCTCAGCCAACGTAGTGTGATCTCTACATCAATCGAGTCATCGTAACATCCTTAGCCATTGTAGTGGTCTTTACATCAATCGATTCATCGTTACACCCTTAGCCAACGTATTGGTCTTTACATCAATCGATTCATCGTTTCACTCTCAGCCAACGTAGTGGTCTTTACATCAATCGAGTCATCGTTACACCCTCAGCCAACGTAGTGGTCTCTACATCAATCGATTCATCGTTACACCCTTAGCCAACGTAGTGGTCTCTACATCAATCGATTCATCGTTACACCCTTTATCTTCCCAAGTCAAGGGAGTTAACTGACTAAAAAAGTCCAGTTTCCATCCTTGCCGAACTAGGCTGGTATTATGGAGTTTTGGCTGGACTAACGAGTCTATAAATAGTCCAATCAAAATCGTGCATCGAAATCGTAATCCGGCAGATTTAGGTCGATTGCAGGATTTGCAAAGCATGTGCACCGCTAACTCGTTGTCAACAGATATTTTCCGAATCTTTTCATGTTTTTAATCAAGGTGCTCACGCATTGCGCGATGTTAGACCCGTTCTATCACAACATGGACCTTGATTATCGATCAGATCGTCTTGATTGGCGCCACTGTTTTGTTTCAAGCAAATGCAAATGATACGAGAGGTGGAATCTGATTGGTCTAAAGGAGAGCCCAGGAATTCTTGCCTAGTTCGGCAAGGGTGGAAACTGGACTTTTAAAGTCAGTTAACTCTCTTGCCTCGGGAAGATGTACACCCTTAGCCAACGTAGTGGTCTTTACATCAATCGATTCATCGTTAAAAAAAAGTCAAATAGGGTCAATGGAAAAGTTAAACCATACCTGGTATATTTGGGGAATCATGTATTGTGTTTCCAGGTCTTGTGCTGGGGTGGGGTCGGCTGAGGCCCAGCGTGGTGTCTCGTACATCAGGTGCACTAGTACCACACGTGAATACTTCAGACTATGCATAGACTCGTTAGTCCAGCCAAAATGTAACTCTATAATACCAGCCTAGTTCGGCAAGGGTGGAACCTGGACTTTTAAAGTCAGTTAACTCTCTTGTCTTGGGAAGATGGCCTTTTCTCTGTTGCGTATTGTTCCTTTGCTTATAGACGCTATAAATTTCGATGTATTATTTCTTTTTATTTCATGTTGCCAATTGTGTTTTGGTTCTCTCTTTATTACCCTGAATTAGGCAGATATCAACACGCCTAAAAGGCGATTATTCTGGTTGTTTCGGCTGATATAAAGGATGGACACAAATGAAAGCATAGACGAATAGGTTTTTAAGATCGTTCATATTTATTACCCTTAATATATTACATGGTAAGACAAAGGGCTTAAACATCAATGATGTCAACACACTATACACAATGTACATGTTTTACGTATATTTATAAATGCAAGAAAACGTCAAGGTTACATCGTACATATTTACTAGATTAGTATAGATTTGATATTCCGGGCAGCAAACCATAACACAATGATTTTGATAAACTTCAATTGTCACTTAAGCACATATACTCCATGGGTAGACAGGATGGCTGAAGATTTGAAGACGTGAAGACTTGAAGACTTAAAGTTTGGCCTCAACATCTGACCCCAGGTAGAATACGTTCTTTGTATCCGGGTTTTGAATTGCATCTCTGGTGATGTTAAAGTCCGCAATAGGGTACTGTGTCTTGCCGTCTAATGCCAGCTCACTGAGGATCTTGCCCAGCAGGCTGGAAAATCTGCAAAACATGCAATACGGTTTTCATTTTGTATCTAAAGTGGCCACGAAATTAGCAAAACCAGGGGGCAATGTTTGGAAATGGAACCAACTTGGTAATAATGTCGGTGCTGCCTGAAGAGAGGTGAAATGGGGTTCAACGTCGTTTTCAAAATTATTGCACTTATATAGCGACGTGATTGCACGTGTGTGTGCCGATGTAACAGTGCTTGCCTACTGAGGTACCATGCCGCAGTTTAACATGAATACCCACTCAGACGCAGTTTATTGCTCCGAGCCGACCAGTCTTTGTTTTAGCCCCTTAATGCTGACGCCAGGCAGGGTAACAACAAGTACCATTTTGTTAACGTCTTTTGGTCAATATTGTGGAAAGTTTAATGTGGTGTATTTAGTGTCAATTTGTAAAAGTATTTCAGTTATGAAACAGGGCGTCATTACACATTGGGACGTAAGCCAAAATTGATACAGGTCGTAGACATTTAACATATATAGCACGGACATTGTGCTGAGAGACCAAGGATAATGACGGTGAGGTTTTGGGAGTCAAACCCATAACTCCCGGATCCTGCTTGATTCGATCACTGCATTCGTGTTCCCCCGTAAAGAAATGGAATGCGAACACCGTAGAGAATTGGGATGCGAACACCGTAGAGAAATGGGATGCGAACACCTGATGTCATCACTGAGTTTCAGTGAGCCAATCATATTATTATTCACGCCTTTTACGCCCAATGAAATCTGTTTCGTCGAAAAATTTAGACTGTTTTTTTCTCATTATCAATGTCCCTATGGAACACTTGATTTGGAATGAAACACACGATGAAAGGTTAGTTTGTTTGTTGTTTAAGGCCGCACTCAGCAATATTCCAGTTATATGAAGGCGGTCTGTAAATAATCGAGTCTAGACCAGACAATCCAGTGATTGATATCATGGGCATCGATCCACGCAATTGGGATACGATGACATGCATCAACCAAGTCAGCGAGCCTAACCATCCGATCCCGTTAGTCGCCTCTTACGACAAGTGTATTCGCCTTTTACGGCAAGCATGGGTTGCTGAAGACCTATTCTACCCCGGATCTTCATGTGTATAATGTGTGCCCATTTATGTTGTCCCCCGCCTTGATATTGCTTACTTGAAAGCATGTCCAGCCCCACAGCAAACAATGACATCTTGGAACCCCTTGTACGCGCATGTGTCAATGACGAAGCTCCGGTCGGGGGGCATGGTGTAGAGGCAGGTTTTGGTGTAGAGCAGAGGGCCGTCAAACTGAAAGTGGAAAGAACAGCTACAGTAGTGTGGACAAATATATATCTTTTAACGTTTTGGCAAGATGATTGAAAATTAGTATCAGAGCTCCAGATAAGCTGCGTATCTGCGTGAAATACACATCAGAAATGCAGAAAGACGCATTAAAATAGAATCCAAGCGTATCAAATACGCAACGAACATTACAGATACACTACAAAAATAAAACTTGTGCGTATCATCTAAATATTGTGAAGTAACCCTGCGTATTCGATTAGCAAATCAGCAACTTATTTTGAAATTATAAACAGGCATTCCGTCAACCTTGCCAAACTCCACGATGACAGTTACATCATGATCATTTTCCTTCACACTTTCTTGTGGAAGTATCGTGGTATTTTTGAGTCCTGTAAAGCTCTCGAACCCACACGACACCAGTTTGCATGGACTAGATGAATAGTGTTTAAATATTTAACTTCAATACCCACATGTGTAAAAACTAGTGGGTAACAGAAATTTGAATACCCAGATAGAATTACTGATACCCAATGATTTTAAAATGCACGGGTAAAATACCCACAACACCAAAAGCTTATCTGGAGCTCTGTAGTATTATTGAAAAGGGAACATCGTGGAATATAATCGTGTTAGATTCGTGTGTCGCTGAACCCAAATTACGTTGATCCCCTGTTTAAGGCTTATGTACACATACAAACATCCACAACAGCTAAGACACTTCAGCTATGGCTTATAGCGCACTAATCTCTTCAATGGGTCATTCTTGTGACATGTTTCAGGAGACTACTGGTTTTACTGGACTTTAGCCAAAAATGCGACTCAGTATGAATGCGAATGGAATATACATGGTTGGTTGTTTTTAAGTCCAGGGGTATTTCTGTTATCCAAAACGTTAAGTGAGGCCGTCTTATTGTTGATAGTAATTTTGAGACATAAATGCGATGTTTAATTAATTCGAGCAAAGACCACTCGCATCTTTCCCATAATATTCACGCTCGCATTAATTTCAAGGTTTACAATCTTATAATATAGCTATTCTTTGGTTGGGTGAGACATAGCAACCTGTTTAATATTTCGCAGGGCTAGGAATAACGTCAGTTACAACAAAGGGAATGTTTAAAACAAAACGTGAAAAGACATATCCAGAGTTGGGACTACCTTTGGACAGATGTCTTTTACAAGGTCAGTGCAGACTTTCTCTCTGGCAGGGTCGGGGTCAAATGTCCTGGTGTTGGCAGTAACGGCAGGGCCTCCTGCATCGATCCCGATCTTCGTCCCCGTGTTGCCGTGGATGGGGAGGGAGTAGATGTCGTAGGTAGGGAGATGGAAATACCACACAGGGAACCTGCAATGATTGAAAGAGATCATCAGTCTGGTGATAGGTTTCACTGCATTGATGGGAGAGACTTGAATCTCACGCCACACTTTGTTAACAGCGTCTTGACGCCTGTCGTTCACATTTGCCACTTTGTGAGTGAACAAATATGGTTTTACGCCGCTTTTAGCACTATTCCAGCAATATCACAGCGGCGGACACCAGAAATGGGCTTCACTCATTGTACCCATGTGGGCATCGAACCCGGGTCTTCAGCGTGACGAGCGAACGCTTTCACCACAAGGCTACCCCACCGCCCCTATCACTTCTTGAAACATACGAGCTCGGTGCTGACAAACCAAGGATCATAATCAGATAATGTCAGATTCATTTGCCTCCTGCGCCGCGAATTCCGAGGATCAGTGGGTCACTGATGAAAGTTGCTGGGTTTGAGGATTGAGACATAAATAGATGGTAAGAGGCGACGGGATCGGGTGGTCAGACGCGCTGATTTTAAAAAAATCATCGTATCTCAATTGCGTAGATCGATGCTCATGATGTCAATCACTGGATTGTGTGGTCCAGACTCGATTATTTACAGACTGACGTCATATACCAGGAATATGGCTGAGTGCGGCGTTAAACAGAAAAGAAAGAAAGAAACATTAATGGATGCTCCTGTCTATACATGTGCTACGTCCTATAAGACCTGACAGCCGTGCATGACACAGGATGGTCGCTGGACTTACTTATCTATGGTGAAGTCTTTCATGTGGGGCGTGCCGAGGTAGGACACCTGCTCCTGGGTGACTGTGACGGGGATATGGACGCCGATGGTTCCCAGCACTGAGTTGAGCCAGCCTCCGGCAGTGATAATAATCCTCTTGCACTCGAAGGATCCTTTCGTTGTGTATACCTGCAATGATCAAGCATAGAGAGAGTGAGTTGGGTTTAACGCCGCTTTTAACAGTATTCCAGCTATATCACGGCGTGTAAGCTTAATGTGGGAGGAAAGCCCGAAGTGATGCAGGTCTCAGACGTTTACCACTTCGGTGAAACCCACGAGCACGGGTATGGTGCTGACAAACCTAGAAACATAATCGGGGAGAACCGGGATTCGAACCCACAATCATAGGTTTCTGGCGTGCCCAAGGGACGCAACTCTGCACAGCGAATCGCGGCGCCTTAGACGACTGGGCCACCCGTGCCCCCCTCAAGCATAGAGAGAGTTAGGGGTGAAACGATTGGCCGACCTATCGATTCGTTGTCTTTGTTCATGGTCCGATATAAAAACACAGATGACATGTCAGCATATCAATTTTTACTTATTAGCCCTTTAGACTATCGCCGAGCGGTGGGATAGTTTGGTTGAAGCGTTCGCACGTCACGCCGAAAGTCCTGGTGAAAAGGTAAGCGCGGTGTAAAACAATACTCATTCACAACATAAACACAACACTTGTAACTTTGGTTTGTTTGTTGTTTTACGCCGCACTCAGCAATATTCCAGTTATATGAAGGCGGTCTGTAAATAATCGAGTCTGGACCAGACAATCCAGTGATTAATATCATGAGCATCGATCCACGCAATTGGGATCGATGACATGCATCACCCGATCCCGTTAGTCGCCTTATACGACAAGAATAGTCACCTTTTACGGCAAGCATTGGTTGCTGAAGACCTTTACTACCCCGGAAACTTCACGGGTAGGTAACTTTGGTCATAACGTGTTTGTACTGTTTTGATTGCGTCTCTGTTTCCCATTGCATGTATACAATGTGAGTGAGTGACTGGGTGGGTGGGTGGATGGGCGAGCGAGCGAGCGAGCGAGTGAGTGAGTGAGTGAGTGAGTGAGTGAGTGAGTGAGTGAGTGAGTGAGCAACACTTACCACAACGTTGCCGTTGCTTGCTCGACCTATCCTCGTAGCCGGACAATTTTCTATGATAGTAGCGCCATTCCCGCGGGCCAATTGGATGTGGACCGCATTAGCCAGAGCAGCGTCCACGATGCCAGCGTTCTCTTGCAGGAGCCCCACGATGTCAGGACCAACACGGAACTGCGGATACCGCTGCATCACCTGCCTGTTGTTCAGCTTCTCGTATCTGTGGAGGTGCGATAAATCTATCTGAATACTTGACGGAAACATTTCATCGTGTAATAAAAAACATTACACGCTCCCGATAGTATAATAAATGATAGTGTATTTAATTTTCTTGGTTTTTTAACGAATGAATGTTTCACTTCTTCTGACAGTGAATTTTAATGTAATGTTTTAAGGGTGTGGAAGGTTCAATACATCTAAAATGCTTATATACCTTGTATGTAACATGGTTAGGTCCACGAAGAACATACTATTGTTTGCATCATTCATGCATATGAAGACCGCCTCCGTGGTCTAGTGGTAGAGCGTCCGCCCGGAGAGCGGAAGGTCCGGGGTTCGTTTCCCGGCCGCGTCATACCAAAAGACGTTAAAAGATGGTATTTGTTGTTACCCTGTACCCTGTTTAAAACAAGGACTGGTCGGCTCTGAGTCAGTATACTGTGTCTGAGTGGGGTATTCATGTTAAACTGCGGCATGGTATCTCTGTGTGCTAGCACTTTGAATCGTCATCAGTCCGGAGAAGTACAAGCAGCCACATACACATACACACGCACACGTGCAGTCACGTCGCTATATAAGTGCAATAATCCTGAACGCGACGTTAAACCCCATTTCCCCTCACCTTCATGAATATGAATGTTTCTAATAAAAAACAGTCGTGTACGTTTGATACAATCCTTAAAAAAATATATTAGAAATCCTGAATTGAAGCAGGGAGATGAGGAACAAAAGATGCTGATTCTGTGATGAGAAGTAGCTGAAGGGGAACGCGCAGCTAAATGGTACTTTCTGATGACATTATGTTGTTTGTATGCTTTTGCTTAACGCCGCACTAAGCAATATTCCAGCTATATGACGGCGGTCTAAATAATCGAGTCTAAACCAGACAATCCAGTGATTGTCATTATGAGCATCGATCCACGCAATTGGGTTCAATGACATGCATCAACCAAGTCAGCAAACCTGACCACCCGATCCCGTTAGTCGCCTCTATCAACAAGCATAGTCCCTTTTTACGACAAGCATGGGTCGCTGAAGACCTATTCTATCCCGGATCTTCAAGGATCGATAACATTAAGTACTGATATATATTTCAACAAGGAGGAGCGGGTATTTCGACAGCTGGGCTAAATCTTACTTGATGTTGGTTCTGTCCATGGATTGGGCATACATGTCCATGATGTGGTCTGCCTCGCCTCGCCTGGCCAGCTGGAGACTCGGCGTCTTGAACACCACCTGGAGACCGGACTCCCTCTCTATTGTCTCCCATCTGTCAACATATGTATCAACATTAGTATCAACACTGGTATCTGTAACAAATGCTATATTTGGAATAACACTTTCTTAGTAAAGTACAGATGGGGTGGGGGTTGAGTCCCATCCGGGATTCGAACCCACACTGCCAGAGCGAGGCACCGAATCGCCAGCACACAAAGTGTGCGATCGAAGCCTGTTGAAACCTCGGTGTTTTTCTGAATGGCATTGTGTGGTCGTAACATTGGTATCAACATTAGTTCGTTTGTTGTTTAACGCCGCAATCGGTAACATTCCTGCTATAAGACGGCGGTCTGTAAACTATTGAGTCTGGACTAGACAATCAGGTAATTGACATCATTATCAACAGTAGTTCAAATATTGGTATTAAGTTTGGTATAATTATCAATATTTCTTACTTCAGTTGACCATCTTAATCTGTGTTTAGTCGCCTCCTGAGTATTATTTTCGTCGACCACATTATTGCATCAGAGAAAACTGAGAGGAATGTAATAAAGTTCAAGCTATATGACGGCGCCCTGTAGGTAAATGAATCTGGACCAGATAAGCCACTGATTTGAATTAAGCACATCGACCAACGCTGTCGGGATACAAACAAACGAATGTGAGTACCCTTTCATTTTAATCGCCTCTTACAACAAGCCTGTTCTGGGGGCCAAACCTGTCATCAGTACGTTAGGCGTGTACAGTAGCCTGACGCATATGGGAAACACTAATTTCATGCCATAGTGTGGGCGCATAATAAATAGTGTAATAGCAGAAAGATCTTACGCTGGGTATGTGTGCGGAGTCAGCCTGGTATATTTGTCCTCATGGTATGTCAATCGGCTGAAATAGATGAAAACTATTTTTAGCAGCTATTTATTCGGCGAAGTCTATAATTATGCTGTTTCTGGGATGATGTAGTTGATTATGTGATGCAGACAGTTTTAGACAGTCCACTAAAATAATGTATCCTATATGGATCCTGTGTACAGTATGGACCGCCTCCGTGGTCTAGTGGTAGAGCGTCTGCCTGGAGTGCGGAAGGTCCGGGATTCGATCCCCGGCCGCGTCATACCAAAAGACGTTAAAAGATACTTGTAGTTACCCTATCTGGCACCCGGCATTAAGGGGCTAAAACAAGGACTGGTCGGCACGGAGTCAGTATACTGTGTCTGAGTGGGGTATTCATGTTAAACTGCGGAATGGTATCTCAGTGGGCAAGCACTATAAAATCGTCATCAGTCCGAACTAGTACAAGCAGCCACACACACACACACGTGCATGTACGTCACTATATGAGCGCAATAATCTTGGACGCGACGTTAAACTCCATTTCACCTCTCCTGTATACAGTCCGAATGAAAACATTTGTACAACTAGCCCTGGTGATAGAACAGTACACTTAAGTCTAGGAAATGTATTACTTACATGATCCGTGAGTGGTCTTGCGAACCTCCATTATCATGACCAAGCTTGAACTGCTCTAGCCCCAAAACTACAACACCAATTGATTATAGTTAGTCATCTGGGTTAAATGAAGAGCGAGTGAGTGAGTGAGAAATATTCCAGCAATATCACGACGAGGGACACCAGGAAAGGGCTTCGGACACTGTACCCGTGTGGGGAATCGAACCCGGGCCTTCGGCGTGACGAACGAACGCTTTAGCCACTAGGTTACTCTACTAATGAAGACTATTATAGTTACTAGTATGTAACCGCGTGGGTTGTAGACATTTACCTCATGGGTAAAACTCCAACAAGGGTATGGTGTTCACTGACGAAGGATCCAGATCGGAGCAAACTTAAAACCAGTGGATCCCGGAATGACTTTGCTTTCCTTGCATGGAATTGTCAGATAATTTTGCCAGCCGTGCTCTATATTTGTATACAGTAAACTACTGTTATAACGAACTCAAAGGGACTACTAATTTTAGTTCGTTATAACCTTAGTTCGTTATAAGCATATATACAGCATAACTACAGCAAAAAGTCGGGACCAAAAAAAGGAAGTTCGTTATATCCGTCAGTTCGTTATAAGCGTGTTCGTTATAACCGTAGTTTACTGTAATTGTTTGTTCAGAAAGACATAGTTAGGGAATCTGGTTCAGCGTCATTTTGAACAATTGTCATGCTGTATTACATCAGGCCAGCTTATTTATCGCAGCTTTGATGTGTTGACCTTTTCGACGAAAACACGGTTATTGTTATAGTTCTGTTATAACGGGGGCGATAATCAAGATTAACAGATGGATGCTGGTTTAGTTTAAATGATTAGTGTTATAGCATCCCGTGACACGGATGAAGAATCCGAAATCTGGTACGTAGTTTTGCGTCCCCATAGTCAGAAAACTACTACAGTGTTTTTTGGAGACCAGTTTCCCTAATCAAGGGCGTCTTCAGGAGGTCCTCTCAGCTAACAAGCCGATATAGAAGGGAGTAAATATGGTTTTACGCCGGTTCTAGCAATATTCCAGCAATATCACGGCGATATATAACTGAAATACCGTTCACATTTACAGCTTCCCCGATACATTACATTCAATATACACCAGTGATGAGGCCGAAATAACATAAAAACATACAGGTTTTAGTCATTAAACAATACTGCAGAATATACGCTAAAATATGTACTATTTTGGCTAAAACAAGTAGAGTTTGATTCTATATGCCAACGTCAGAGAATAACGAGACTCGATTATCCGCTGAAATAGATTCCATTGGGCGTAAGATGCAAAACTAGCGTTGGGGTGTTGATGAACGGATCACTGAAAATCAGTGAGCACACTTTTAAATGACTTATTAATCGAGTTCATTTTAACAATATGTTGGACATAAAATCAGGAAAAGTTCATAATTACCAGATCTTGATCTCTTCGAGAGCCAGTAGACAGCTCCGCTTCCTATGCCGCCACAACCAATGACTATGTAGTCATAGTACGGTCTTTTGCCTGTGTCCGACATGTTGCTTATCTGTCAGTGATGTTTGCATTTCTTCTGATGTGTGGACATATATTAGCAAGGAGACATGCAAATCCAGCTAGTCTGAACAAGTTCTGGGGCCCTCTGGACTGGCCTTGCCCCGCTTACCTGCTGTTGTGACCCACCCTACCTGTGCATCTATGGCGAAGTGAACGGGAAAATGTGTTAAAGTTAAAGATAAACGCCGCGGCCCCTTGTTTACACACAGCGTTAAGATTCCTGGAGTCAATAGATCTACACGCGCAATGCTTGTGACAGTGAATACTGAGATGGTTACAATGTCGGGTTGTTTGTAATAAGAAGCCGAAAGCGTTGACCGTTGATCACACTATCAACCACTGGTATTATTTCGAAGCATCTGGCATATAGCTGGATACACTGGCGTAGTAAGGCCTTCACTCATTAACCGTTTGGTTTATTGTAACATCTGTCATTTGTTAACAGGGTATGACAGCATTGTCAGGTATCTGATGCTCGTGGTAAGACGTTCGTGTCGCGTGCTCAAGGTAGACAAACTGTTTGATAACGTGTGATAATTTGACCGGCTCTTCGTGAAACGGACATCAACGAATTATGAACGAAAACCCCGAAAGTGAACATCTCATATTCCATTGTCACCGATATTTCCACTGATCTATCGTGAATCAGCCGTTTTCACCGTGATCAGCTGTTCATTTCGTAAGCATAACAGATAAGGAACGCTGTCTAGTATCTGTAGTTTTATTGTATTTTTTAATAGAAGATTTGTACCTCTTTAGGAATCACTTATCAATCGCTAGCCACCTGTCTCCACTGTGATTAGCTTTTCATTACGTTGTTTGTTTGTTTGTTTGTTTGCTGTTTAACGCCGCACTCAGCAATATTCCAGCTATATGTTGGCGGTCTGCAAATAATCGAGTCTGGACCAGACAATCCAGTGATTGACATCATGAGCATCGATCTACGCATTTGGGATACGATATAACATGAATCAACCAAGTCAGCGAGCCTCAACACCCGATCCCGTTAGTCGCCTCTTACGACAAGCATAGGATCTATTTACGGAAAGCATGGATAAACATATTCTACCCCGGATCTTCACAGGTATGTTCATTACGTAGGCATAAGAGGAAGCAATATTGTATTCTGACCCTTTTCCTTGTGTTTCGTGACATTGTCATCAGTTTTTTGTTTGTTGCAAATATTTTTTTTGTCTTACACACACAGAGATACATACACACAGAGATACATACACACACAGAGATACATACACACACAGAGATACATACACACATAGATATGCATATACACAGAGACACATACACACAGAGAGATACATACACACACAGAGACACACACGGAGATACATACACACACAGATATACATACACACAGAGAGATACATACACACACAGAGATACACACACACACAGAGATACATACACACACAGAGACACACAGAGAGATACATACACACACGGAGATAAATACACACACGGAGATACATACACACACAGAGACACACACGGAGATACATACACACACAGAGATACATACACACGCACAGAGTTACATACACACACAGAGATACATACACACATAGATATGCATACACACATAGATACATACACACACGGAGAAACATACACACACAGATATACACACAGAGATACACACACACACAGAGATACATACACACACAGAGATACATACACACATAGATACATGCACACAGAGATACATACACACACAGAGATACATACACACACAGAGATGCATACACACACAGATATACACACAGAGATACATACACACATAGAGATACATACACACACAGAGATACATACACACACAGAGATACATGTACATACACACACAGAGATACATGTACATACACACACAGAGATACATACACACGCAGAGATACATGTACATACACACACAGAGATACATACACACGCAGAGATGTATACACACACAGATAAACATACACACACAGAGATACATACACACACGGAGATACATACACACGCAGAGATACATACACATACGGAGATACATACACACACGGAGATACATACACAGACGGATATACATACACACACAGAGATACATACACACGCGGAGGTACATACACACACAGAGATGCATACACACACAGATATACACACAGAGATACATACACACACATAGATACATACACACACGGACATACATACACACACAGATAAACATACACACACAGATAAACATACACACACAGAGATACATACACACACGGAGATACATACACATACGGAGATACATACACACACGGAGATAAATACACACGCGGAGGTACATACACATACGGAGATACATACACACACAGATATACATACACACACAGAGATACATGTACATACACACACAGAGATACATACACACGCAGAGATACATGTACATACACACACAGAGATACATACACACGCAGAGATGTATACACACACAGATAAACATACACACACAGAGATACATACACACACGGAGATACATACACACGCAGAGATACATACACATACGGAGATACATACACACACGGAGATACATACACACACGGAGATACATACACACACAGAGATACATACACACGCGGAGATACATACACATACGGAGATACATACACATACGGAGATACATACACAGACGGATATACATACACACACGGAGATACATACACACGCGGAGGTACATACACACACAGAGATGCATACACACACAGATATACACACAGAGATACATACACACACATAGATACATACACACACACAGATACATACACACAGAGATATATACAGACAGAGATACATACACACAGATACAAACACACACAGAGATCCATACACACACGGAGATGCATACACAGACGGAGATCCATACACACACGGAGATGCATACACACACAGACATAAACACACACAGAGATACAAACAGACAGAGATACATACCAATACAAATACATAAACATACAAATACAAACACACATTTGTTTATTTATTTATTATAGTACATATAAATACACACACACACACACACACACACACACACACTGACATACCCAAACACACATACATCCACACACGCCGAACCCCCCTCCCCCAACCACCCACCCACCCACTCCTCCACCACCACACATATCCATCCACCCCTACCACACAAACAAAAACACCCCTGCACACCCACACCACAGCACCACAATCCAGACACAACTCACTCACATTGAATGCATAATATAATATACTTAAATAACCCCAAAGCAACGGGTGAGATTGTTATAGTATCCTTAAAAAATATTTTTTTTCAGATTAACGGGATTCACTGTATATAACATGCGCTACTATGAATGTATGTATGCGAGTGAATAAACAGGGCCGCGGCTATGCACTGAAAGTGTCGGCGGACTGACGCATGTTTATGATCGTGTTATCGTACCCGATGATGCAAGTCAAGTCCAGTTCAAGCCGCCTCACACAGACTATTCCCGGAGTTAATGAGATAAGCGTTGTTTATGTCAACCTACAATCGCTCACCTGACCTTCAGCCTCTAGTCGAAAGTAGAGTAACAGGTAAAAAAGTGTCAGGCCAAGTCTAAGTACATGACCTCAAGAACCGAAATGAATCTATTAAGCTCTCATTAAGTTATGGCAGGGTTTAATTGTTGTTGAACGCTGCACTCAGCAATATGCCTGCAAATAATCGCGTGTGGACTGTTAATCCAGTGGTTAATGTTATGAGCACACGGGTACCGTGCCACACACTCAACCAAGACGCGAGCCTGACCACCCGACCCATTTGGTCGTCTAACTGGAGGTAGTCTCACTGGACCCTAAGGTGGTCTGACTGGGCCTCGACCTATAACAGGCCCAACATCTGAGGTGGTCTGACTGGACCTCGACCTATAACAGGCCCCACATCTGAGGTGGTCTGACTGGACCTCGACCTATAGCAGGCCCCACATCTGAGGTGGTCTGACTGGGCCATCGACCTATAGCAGGCCCCACCCCAGAGGTGGCCTGACTGGACCTCGACCTACAGCAGGCCCCATCCCAGAGGTGGCCTAACTGGACCTCGACCTACGGCAGGCCCCATCCCAGAGGTGGCCTAACTGGACCTCGACCTATAGCAGGCCCCACCCCACATGTGGCCTAACTGGACCTCGGCCTACGGTAGGCCCCATCCCAGAGGTGGCCTAACTAGACCTCGACCTATAGCAGGCCCCGCCCCAGAGGTGGTCTGACTGGACCTCGACCTATAACAGGCCCCACCCCCAGAGGTGGCCTAACTGGACCTCGACCTCGACCTATAGCAGGTACCCTGGTCCGTCTTTTCGCATAATGACCTCTCCGAGAGTAATAATTTGTATAATAGTAGGAAGGTTATCAACGGAGCAACGGAGTGTATTTCCGACGCTTTCTGCATGTCATCGTACACTAAGGTTACAGATCGTATCAACCACTGGTTTGTCTGGAATTCTGTTTGAATAAGAATGTAACAGAATCATAGATTATTGGAGACATTTGCAAAATGAAAAGAGTGGCATATCATGGAGAGGCTATGTTTTGCAATCACAATCACTCCACACACGTGTTGCTGGCTATGACACTGCCCTCGTGGGTTTTTCTCAAAGTGTTGTCATTACCTTGTACAATGGACACATTCATGACGTCATACACAAATATGCAAATACAAGCAACATAGCCATTTCCACATTCACAAGGAATTTTTTTCCAAAGGCAGTCCTATGTACGATTCCCACCATATAAGCATGAGCCCACGAATCACTAGTACTTAGTGATAACACAAGTCTTCGTGTTCAGCCAAATTATTTGGTTGCACAGTCGAAATTTGCACACTTGGAAGACAATGCTTTCTACTCTGATAATGAGCACAGATATTGTGTTTTGGGGGTAAACGTGTTTCAACGACTCCACACCATGGTAAAGTCTAGCTGGTGATGAAACGGATGTGTTATCTCCTTAGATTAATATACAGTGATCTATCACGTTACCCACAGCCAGGAAAACAATTAGTATTGCTTGCAAAAATCGATAAATATCATTTCAATGTAAATCATAAGAAATTCCCAGTGTGCGATTCCGACTAAATCATACGAAACTGTTCATGACTAAACATCAGATAGGGTTACCAGGGTCCACTTGCACAAAGCGATCTTAGCTCCAAGATGATCTTAACTCCCATACTTTAACATAGGCGTACAATAGTCTTAGCGCTATGATCGCTTTGTACAAGTCGGTCCAAGTGTTTGCGAAATTGTGAGTCTATAGTTCACGATGAAGATTGTCAGGCTGCGAGAATACGAAACTGATAATTAATGGATATATCTTTTTAATTGTCTCTATCCTTGTTGTTAACCTATTATTAAATTTGCTTATAACTACATGCTGGCAGACCCGTGAAGATCCGGGGTAGAATAGGTCTTCAGCAACCCATGCTTGCCGTAAAAGGTGACTTTGCTTGTCGTAAAAGGCGACTAACGGGATCGGGTGGTCAGGCTCGCTGACTTGGTTGATGAATGTCATCCTACCCAATTGCTTGGATCGATGCTCATGATATTAATCACTGGATTGCCTGGTCCAGACTCGATTATTTACAGACCGCCGTTATATAGCTGGAATATTGCGGCGTTAAACAACAAAGCAACAAACCAACCAACATGCTGGCATGTTATGTTTCAACATTAAAACACATTGCACGACTATCTGTGACGTAGCTCAACAGATATATCTAGGTTTGCCAATGACGGTTATGTTCATGGAAAAGGTTTGTACTTTTAGAATGAACCACCCTTGAATGTACAAATTAAAACATAATAATATATTTTCTCTAGCTGGTTACAAAATATTATCTCGATCATGGTCCCTGAAAAGAGTAAGGGCTTTTAGTTAAATAACAACAAAAACTTTATTAAAATATTATTATACCATAATAACATAACGCCTTTGTCGGTATGTAAGAGTCTGCATACTGAA